AGTTAACTGGCTGAACATGGGCTTGTTTGTCATAGAACTAGAAAAGACTTGGGCTGCCTTTGTGGACAAGGCTTGCTTTTTTTTTTTTTTTTTTTAAAGTGAGCCAACCACTTTGGCTTCTGCTCTGTAATATTAAAACCTATTGGAGAAGCCACATGGTTCCTATGCTGTCAGATACTCTCATTCTCCATGCAACCCCAAAACTGTGCTGGATTTGCACCGTTCAGCCCCAAGGCCTTGACTGCCTCAAGGATGGCCTAAGTTGACCAAATGGCACATGGAGAGCACAGGAACGACACAGCAGCACAAGGACGAGGCTGGGCTCTGTGTGACCACACCTGCGTCCACAGGAACAGTCCTGCAGGTGTTTTGCAAACAGCTGCCTGCAGAGATGGCCCTTCCCTTGCTCCAAAACAGTGGCTTGAGGTAGGCGGTGGATGGCTGCTCTGCCACGCTCCTATTTACTGAAGCGGAGGACAAAGTGGCTTCGTGGGAGGCAGGGATGACAAGAAGGCTGCCAGCGAGGTGCTGGAGTTACTGCGGGAAGCATGCGATGAGTGTCCGTAGCTCCTTCAGTAAGAGCCTCGTGCTGAGATGGTGGACAGCCCCTGCACACCCCAAAACAGTTGCCCTGCACAAGACAGGGGCTCAGGCCCTGACAGCATGCTTTGCTTGTACTTGAGCAGGGGGGCAGCTCACCTGGCAGGGAGGAAGCAGGTGAGTCAGCCTGTGTGGCTGTCAGGTTTATCACTGGGTACAGGAATGCTGCTTCCAGGTAAGAGATCCTATCTGCTGGGACCTGGTGTGTGCCTACACACCTAACTAGATAGCAGAGTCCTGCTCCATTAGTCACCAGGAGCCAGCCTTAACCCCTTGCTGTCCTTCCTGAGCAGCTCCTCCCCAGCACAAGAGAGCGCTCAGCAGATGGCAACACCGATGCTCAAACTGGTGTGTGGCATCCTGCTTGGCTGAGAGCTGTCATCTGCTGGGCCTGAAAAGTATCAAAGGGCAGCTCTTCAGGGCCTGATCTCTGCCCAGGGCGTGGGACAGATACTGTACAAACTGCAGAACACCAATAAAAGTTGATAGTTAACCTTCTTTACCAGCAATGTGCGACCTTGGCCTGTCAAGGAAACACGCTGTCAGCGAGGTCACGGCCACCAGCCAGCAGCACAGCCCGCCGGCACGGCAGCCCCTGGGGATTAAACCTGGCTCAGGGCAGTGCCAGGCTGCTGCACCCCAGCTGGGACACACAGCGCCGTGGTGGGCCACTGCACGCCAGCGCTGGGGGCACGGGTGTGTGACATCCCCCTGCCCAGGGCAGCACTGTGTGGAGTTCATGTACACGGACCATGCTACTCCTGCCGCCACACAAGGTCCCCAGCGAGCCCCAGTGCTAAAAGCCCCCCACAGCCCTCCAGCACACGCCTCCCGGTCCCCCCACAGTTAAGCTTTTATGGTAATTAACAGTCTAGCAAAAGCAGAATCAAAGAAAACAACACGCGCTTTTTTTTTGGTCCTCATAAAAAACTAATCTCAATACTTCCCTTTGAATAAAACTTCTTCACCTTTTCACAAAATATAGTACAGTTATTTAAACAATGTTGAACAGTATCAGTAACAGAAGAGGCAAAAACTAACATGTAAACTGACCACAGCACACACGGCACAGGCTCCTTTCCCCTGCCTGCCACTTGCTGCTGAGAAGCCAGGCTCAAACACAAGGTGATTGTATTATCTTACTATTAGCTCAAAGCTGAAAATGCATTTTTAATAGGCAACAGTTTGTAGCTTATCTTGGATTTAAAAAAAAAAAAAAGCTTTACACAGTCAGTTGCACTTTGAAAAAAAAAACACAACAAAACACCACCTTTGACATGGTTTTGTTCATTGTAGTGCATGATGTGTGTTTAGCTGTTTCTACAAAAGGCACTATAGAAAGAGAGGAGTCCAGCAAGGCGTGGATTGGAGCAGGTTGAAGTAATTTAATGCCCTGGATTACAGCATGAGACTACCCACGGCGCTGCTGCGCCTGACCTGCCTCGCTGCTGAGAACACACCTGTCCCAAACCCGTATCAAAGGTCACTACAGCTCCTGTATGTACAAACCCGGCTATAATACAACTATTTACAGTTTGTAACACAACATGGTGCAATTCTGTCCACGATGAAGTACTGCAACACGCTGGAGGGAGCGAACCCTCTGTCGCAAGAGCGCTGAGACGTGCAGCCGAGCCGTCCCTGCCCAGCCCTCTGTCCCCGCATCGCTGGCTGCTCTGCCCAGAACGCCCCAGGGACACTCCTGCCGTGCCCTGGCAATGCCTTTATCAGTGGAGGTGCCACTCCAACATCCCCTCACTTCCCAGCTGGTTTTAAAACGAGGTGGAAACCTTCTTGACTGAAGTGGTCCGAATGCATTGAGAACAACCCCTGCAGTCCCACGGGAGCAAAGCCAGCGTTTGTGCTCCAGTGCTCGAGGGGCCAGGTCATGGTGCCACACTTGAAGGAGGGCAAAAAGGACTCGAATAATGACTGGGAAGTTACATACACGATCACCACTTAGGGCAGGGGAAAAAAAATATCAGGTGCTTTCACAAGCGGGCTGAAGTCAGAGGCAGCCACTTCCCACCAGCTGCACCCCATCCCGTGCCGCAGCCTGCGGCCCCGCACCCTTGCCACGCTCAGTGAAGTTGGCAACAGGGCCCCCGCACCATCATTCTGCTTATCGAAACCCAGCTGTCACCACCACTTGATGTCGGGCACCAGTTCTGTCAGTGCTCTGCTGCTGCCTGGCCTGGGGAAATGAAAAAGGCTCGGGAAGCTGGAGGAAAAGGAGTACGAGCACTCTGCTGATCTTTTTCCAAAATTAACTGCTCACTCTCAAGCCCAGCACAGTCTGCAACAGAGGCACAGCGATGAAAAAAACCAGCAAGAAGTGCGGAAGCTGGCTGGCTGGTAAACCCAGCTGCTCCACAGGAGAGACCGACCGCCGCCCA